TTGACCTTGTTATATGTGTTTTTATCCTAGTAACTATTGAAAACAGATGAAAAAAGGTATGTCTTTGCCATTGTAGTCACCCTCACTCTTAATTGAACTTTAATTGCTCCTTTTCATATGAATCAATTTGAAAAATCTTTTCTAACTTCAGGGAAGCAGAACTTGTGTGAGCTCTCTTTCTCTCCCTTTCTCCCCCTTTCTCCATCCCCCTCTCTCTTCCCCTTGCCCTCTCTCTGTCTCCCTTTCCATTAGGCCTTCCCCCTTGTTCTCTTTCCTTCTTTCCTAAATGTGGGATAAAGAAGAGGGATTCCTTACTTTTTTTTTTTAAACTGTTGAAGTTTGGATGGTAGCATACATGACCACTAGAGGCCCTCAGACTACTGTATAAATTTTCTTTTTGTCTAGTCTTAATGTTTAATGTTTGACTTAATTATTATTATTATTTTTTTTTTACTGCAGACAAATAATAGTTGAAAAAGAAGAGAGGAGAGTATTAGTGTTCCTTTTTTGCCCATGGCCACAAAGGCCATGTATATGGCCTGGGTATTTAGCTATGATACTGTAGCTAATTGAATATACTTTCCCTTCAAGAACACATCTGCTTTGTGGCACTTCTGATCACCTCTGGTCAAATATGTGCCTGATATTTCAGGAAAAATTGATTGATTCAGTACAATAAGAGTTGTAGAGAAATTTCACAGAGAATTCTCATGTCACCAGATCTCACAGTGAAATCAAGGGTGACTGGGGAAGAGGTAGCTTGAAGGAGGGTTAAGAAAGAGGTTACTTGAATTTTTTAACTTGTCAATGCATAAATGACCCAAAAGGACTAGCATGCAACACCATTGCACTCTCCAATGCCACCTCTCTCCTCTCTGCGGCCCAGCCACCCCCATCTCAAACTTAGCCTTTTGAATCCTGAGAAATGAGCAATGAGTGCCTATTTAAGATCAGCCAGCCAGTTTACAAGAGCATATTAAGGATTTGCGGTGTGGGAGGTGTTGTGCTGGTAGGAACTGGTGATGCAAAAAAGGGTAAAAACTGCCTTTGCCCTCATGGAATTTGCATTTTGATGAGGTGACATGTAAATAACGGTACACCCAGTATCTATACAAAGCATATGAAAGGTATTCTCAGAGAGCAAGGTATTTGTGTCTGGAAGGGACCTCCAGCAGATGATAGGATTTGAGCTGAGTTGAAGTAATAGAGCATTCCAGTCATGAGGGATCATATGCACATTTATATTTGTTCACTGAAAAAAGGCAGCTTTCAAAGTAACATCTTCAGTGGAGTAGGTTATCTAAGGAAAGGAATCACATCGCTGTATCCTATGGTGCTAGACATTGAACATTTTGTCCATTAAGAAAATAATACTCTGTATAAATTTAAGTTTCAGATTTCAAATTTAATAAATTGAAATTTAAAATTTAAAACCATTTGAAATGAATTTTAATTAGTGAAATTGTACAAATTGAAAACCCTGATTTCTCTTCAGAGCTTCCAACTGATGTCAGTATTTTAGAAGATTTAATTCCTTCTGTTTAACAGTTTTATTACTTTTGTTTTTACAATGTCCTGCATCAGTACATGCCAAATTTAAAAATATTATTTGTGTATTTACATCAAGAATTAGCAAATGACTTTTAATTTCTCCCTTTAAAGTAGCAACAGTGAGATTTAAAAGTAATTAATATCAGTAAACATGTCATAATTTTCTGAAACTTAATAGGTTCCATGCACACTTTAATGGGAAGGGGTGGAGAACAAAATGAGGTGATCAATAGTAGTGGTGGTGGCATGGACCTTTGATAATCTACCTGGCAAGGGAATAAAATAATAATAAAAGCAATAAAATAGCTAGCAATTATATAGTGCTTTAAGATTTGTAAAGCACTTTACAAATCTTTTATTTTCACAACAACTCCCGGGAGGTACGTGCTATTAATATCCTCTTTTTATAGATGAGGGAACTGATACAGACAGAGGGTGACATTCCATGGTCACACAGCTAGTGTTTATCAGAGGAAGGACAGGAATTCCAGGAGTTCTTCTGACTTAAAGACTGGGCCTTTACACATGTTGTCATGCTGCCTTGCAGTTTGACCTACTAAAGGCACATGATTTGACTCAAAATATAATGAAGCTTATTCTGTGATAAACTAGTTTCATAATAGAATTTTATGATATTTTTCAGCCCTGTAGATGATACTCTCTATTATCCTGTGAAGTGCCAATATAGTGAAAGAACTTGAATACTCACTGTCTGTCTGATGATGGAGATATTGTTGCCAAATCATTTCACTAAGTGCTTAGGAAGAGGAAATTCACATGAGAAACCTACATTGCTCAAATTGGAGCCCTTATCAAAATGCAGGGCCCTCTATGACATTAGTGAAATTAAACTCTCTTCCCTAGCTCTTAGCATGTGCTTTGCATATAAGTGCTTAATGTTTATGGGACTGAATTAATTGCATTCAGCTGAATCAAGGCATAATCATGAACTGCTGTGTTTGGGAACTTTGATTTTTTTGGAATCTCTCAACCTCTCCTTTCTAGGCCTCTTTTGTTTCCTCTCTCTTCAAGGAACATCTACTGTGTTTCTTATTCAGGTAACTAGTACCCCTGCATTCTCCTGTCATTCTCCAGTTGAAACCTAATATAAAAATCAGCTTTTAGTTATATATACGTTAGTGTGAATTTAAGTCAGCTGTCTCAAATATTTTACATTTTAAGCTTTATATCTTATGGTGGAGTGAAAAGTTTTGTTCCATGTTATTGTAATTTCAGGTGTCAACAGAGCAAGTGGGAATAGCAAAGTAATCTCAGGAAGGAGTGGTGACTTTGGAATCAGGAGACTTAGATTTTTTTTTTTGGTCCTACTTCTAATAGTAAGAAGTTATATGACTATGGGCAAGCCACTTAACCCTTCTTGCCATCAGTTTAATAAATTCTATCATTCTTTGCATTTTTCTAGTACATCTTTTTTTTTTCTCTCTAGTACATCTTAAATTATACTCGGGAACCAAGCTATGGAATGCTAGGAATACAAAGTGGTCATTCTAGGCATTAATTTATATTTGTTGATTCAGCTTTTAGCCAGAAGCTCCAGTTTTAGTTTAAAAAACTGCCTTTTAAGCTTGAGTATGTATAAATAAAAATCTATTATGAAAATAGAACATATTGATTTTTAGCAGTGTATTTATTCATCCAAGGTTTTCTCAATTCCTTGTTGTAGCATGGATTTTAAATTTTGTTAATCTTTTAGAGAGTAGCTCTTTGAATTCTAATGGGGACTCACCAACTTAAAATATAAGGCATATAAGTTAATCTTGAACTGGTCTGATAATTTCTAAAACAGAATTATATGTACTCTTGTACCTAATAGGTGGTTTATAGAAATAAACAGCACATTCTTAAAAGAGTTGCATCATTATGTAAATAAGTGACACATTAGTTCATCAGTTTAAAGCTAGAAGGGGTCTCCCAACTCTTTAATTTTGGAGATGAGGAAACTGAGCCTTGGAAGTTAAGTAGCTTTCGATTGTACATAAGTAAGTAGCAGAGTAATAATTTCAACCCCGGTCCTTTGACTCCAAAGCTCATATTCTTTCTTAAAGATTATTTAGTCCATAGTTAATGCTTCCTAAAATTTTCTTAATTGCACAGGCAGCTCTACAAACTAAGGTAAAATATCAGAGGGGAAAAATGGCATGTTAGAGGTGGAAAGGGACTTTTGGATGGAATTTGTGCTCTTTTTCTAAATCGGGGGTTATTAACCTGGGGCTTACGAACCTGATTTTTAGTATTTTGATAAATTTATTTCAAAGTAACTGTCTCCTTTATAGTCTTATGTATTTAATTTTTGCACACTTAAGAACATTATTCTGAGGAATCCATAAGCCTCTACAGATTGTTAATGGGTTCCATGACACAAAAAAGGTTAAAAACTCCTGTTCTAGTGAAAACAAGGTCTCCCCCCCCAAAAAAAAAATCAGTGATGCTTGAAGCTTCAAGTAAAATCCTAGGGCATGTAGGTAAAATTATGTCTTAGAACCATATTTTACTCCAAGTGAAGATAAGAACATAGAAGGGGAAAAAAAAATTCATTCTAACAGAAAGTACCCTACATTATTAAAGGCAAGTGATTGTTATATAATTAGTAAAGACTATTTTGCTCTATGTTTGATAAATATTTTGAGGATCACCAAGCAGCTTTTAATGCTTGGTATTCAGTTTCACTTAGATCATGATTTTTAACATGATGTTAGGTCATGTAGAAGTGCTTCTTTTTAAAAAGAAATTCTTTTGAGAAGAAAAAAAAGCCTTGAAATATTTTTTAAAAGTTTATGGCTTATACACTCTTCAGTTTGTTAATTTCAGTATAGAGTTGCAACTATCATTGAAACAACCAAATAAATCTTGTCAATTTTATAGTCACATGAATGTTTGCAATTTAATAAGATCCAAGTAAAAATCATCCTGGTGCTACCTCTTAACTTAATTTTTTCAGTTAAAATTAATCAATAGGAGTGAGGAAGGAGGAGGCATATAATAGCAGTGTTATGAAAGATGCTAAAATGAATATAAATTTATATTTGATATTTAAAAAATGAATTTCTGTTCAAGGTATGTTAATTAGTCCTGCAGACTTTTTGACCTTGAAATGTGTGTGTGTGTGTGTGTGTGTGTGTGTGTGTGTGTGTGTGTATGTGTATGTATGTATGTGTATTTAAAGGACTTATCCCTCTCAAAGATGGAAAAAATACTTTTCTGAGATGTATGCATTAATTAATGTGTTCCGGGGAAAGTGTTTTTACTTAGAAGTAAATTTTTTAATTAGATTTTTACATGATGTTGGCTGGCTCGGAACTAAAATGATTAAAGTACACAAATCATTCGAAAACATCATCATGGTTTGTTTCAACATATATAAAAAAGACTAAAATCTGAGTAGTGAATTAAAGAGTTACCAAAGATAGTTTAAAAAAAAAGTCTCTTACCTTGGCTGCTCAGATAATTATGAGCACATAGGCAGTGTGCTCTTGGCTGTCTGAAGTCCTGGTGTTTTGCTGGCAACTTTTTTTGAGTGTCACCACGTTTGTGAAAACAGTTGAAGTCGGTGGAGAAAGAAAAAACTCAGGAGTTTCAGGGGGAGGACCCATGCATGATGTCATATAGTAATTGAGAAGTTGTGATTGGTTATCATATATCCCAACACTGAAATTATCCAACCAAACTCACTGGAACTGTGATTAATATTATTTTAGAAATGTAAAGGTCATCAGCATTTATTTACTGAAAAAAAGCAAATAGTCAACTATAAGGCTGGTTCTTGGATAAAGGAGAGTGCCTTATTTGCTCTTGATATTTTGTTTTTGCTCAGAAAGCTTTTAAAGGATTTCCCCCCCCCCTTGGGCTTAAAGATATTTTTGTGTATTGTAAAGTTTTGCAAGTTTAGAGACACTTTGTATATTGTAAAATTTCAAGTAGTAAATGATTTGTTTACAGAACTTTTCTTTAAAGTTGCAGTAACAATAATGAACTTGAAGCTTGTAATTAGAAGCATTTCCATTGAGTCATTGGGCCAAAGTGCTATCTCTGTACAGTTTTATATTTAATCCTATAATTGCATAATATTAAAAATTACAAGGAATTGAATTTTTTCATTTAAACACAAGTTGACGCACCCTTAGCAGGTGTTCACATGCACACGTGCACACACAAATGCGCACATATACATTTAGTAGTAATCATTCATTAATGCTTTTGTAAAAGGACATTTGTTTGAAAGTTAATCAAGAACAAAAACACAAGCCATTGCTTTTAACACCCCTGTTCTACCTTGGTGTCTGGGGAGAATAGTCACAGACTTGGCACATTTCTATATGGCATGGGTTTCACCAAGAAGTTCACATACAAATGCTGCATCTCTGCTGGATTAGTTCTTATTTCAGCTACCTTTAGGCTGGATCCCAAAGGTTGTGCCTTTCTCTAATTTACTTACATATATGGAGGGATCTATAAATATATGCTTAATACGGATATATATACAGTTAAATTCAAATTTGTTAAAACAGTTAAAGGGTTTTTACTAATGTGTGTTTTATATGTGTATATATCTCTTCTAGGTAATTATTTGCTTGAAACTTTTTTATTTCTACTTTCAGAAATAAAAGCTTAAGTTTAATATTTGTAAGGTACAAAAGCATTCCAAAATCTCTTTTTAAAGTGATTTATTGTTTTAGAGATTTCTTGTTTATTTCTGCTTGTGTTCAGTGTATAACTATGAAATTTTAAAAAACGATTCATTTACTCTGTATTTTAATATGCATTGACATTAGTTTCACATAAGCAAATGAAGTAGCCTCTAAAATCTGCAGCCGCTATTTTATGTGTCCTTAAATGGAGATCATCTGGTATTCCTCCAGAGGAAGATAAAAATCCATATCTGGGAGCGTTTTTTCGTTCTCCTTTTATTTAAAGAACCAATGCAAACTGATTTAAAAATAATATTTTGGGAGAAAATGTTTTATGAGCATAACAAAACAAAAATGGAATACTGCTGAAAAGTATGCATGAAAATGAATGAAATAAATAGTTGTTTCCTTTAAAAGTCTCATATAATTTCTCTTGTTCTCAAAGTCTGTCATTTAATACTTTTTCCAGATGAAAAATATCTTATGTAGCTAAAATTTGATATCCTATTCATTTGATGGTATATTTCTTTATTTTTGTGAACTTTCATAGAGAAGAAGATTCAGAATATAGGAGATTTAAAACAGATTTACAGTACATATTAATATTATGACAAATGGGGAGAGACAGAAGCCAACAGACTCTTGATAATTTTAAAAAAAAGATGTTTTAAATCTGTATGATATCTATTAAAATCAGAATGTATCTGGATGGATATCCATTTTATTGGGAGAAGAAAAAGTTTAACGTCATTGAAGAGAGGAAAGTTTGCAGTGGAGTTAGGTGGTAACTTAGTTTGATAATCCAGGAAGTTTACTGTATGCTTGGTTCTAATATGCCCGTTATATATTTGTCTATTCACTACCTAGGGATTCTGATAGTTAGCAGTAATAGTATATAGGAATAACAATCCAAACAAAGAATTCCTTCTCTTTTTGTTTAAGTATGAAGAAATGCCCGTGCTTGGGATACTCTTGTCTTAGAGTATGAGCCCCTTTTTAAAAAACAAGGAGTTGGAACACTTAAGAAATGTCAGTGTGCTTTTGAGTGTGTTCTGAAACTTAGAGTTGCTATGTGTTCAGGCACTGTGCTGAACAGCAATATATACAAAAAGAAAGACGATTTGCCTTCAAGGAAATTACATTATTTTATGATGGGAGAAGACAACAGGTGAAAGGGGGCTGGAAAGTGGGGGGGGAGTGGCACAGGATGGAGAATGGCAAGTAGTCAGTAGAATTGAGGGTTTAGCTGGTATCAGAAGTAATCATGGCTGGTATGAGCATTCCTAAAGTAGAGGTTCTGAGGAGGAACTTTCCCACTGGAGCAGGAGGAAGTTGGAGTTGGAGGAGATGCCGACTGAGCACTCACTATGTACCAAGCTTTGTGCTAAGCACGGAGGCCACAAATCTTTTCTGATTGAGGAAGACAACATGTAAAAGAGAGCTACAGGGAGTAGAGGTAGGTCCAGGGGGAAGGTACTCCATGGTGGACAAGTACAGAGTCAGAAGCAGGAACAAAGGATTGACTGCCTGGGCCCTACAGATTGCAGGGGGCAGAAGGTACACCTGGCAAGAGGGTGGGGGTAGGTGAACATTTTGTTCTATGTAATTGAGACCCAGCAGAGGTGGATAAAGGAAGGCTTTGGGTGGGGTTTAGTGTTCTGCCCTCCAGCATTCCTGTTAGAAGAAAAGGCTGAGATTAATCATTAGGATTGCCTCAGCATTTTGTTTGGAATTTTTTGTTCTTTCCAAGTCAACAAGCATTTATTTAGCTCTTCCTATGTGCCAGGCACTGTGCTATGTACTGTACAAAGGAAGTTAAAAACAGCCCCTGTCCTCAAGAAGCTTACAATCTAATGAGGGAGACAACATGCGGAAAGCTAGGCACAAACAAGATATACGGAGTGGAGTCATAGTGTAGTTTTAAACTTTGGCTTAAAACAAGATATGCAGGATAATTGGGGAGATCATCTCAAAATGGAAGGCGCTAGCATTTAGGGGGACCAGCAAAGGCTTCTTGTTGATAGTGGGATTTTAGCTGAGCCTGCGAAGAAACTAGAAGGTTGAGACAAGGAAGGGGAGAATTCCAGGCACGAGGAACAGCCAGTGAAAATGAATGGAGTCCAGAGGAGTGCTTTATAAGAAGGAACATCAAGGAGATCAGTGTCACCTATTGTGGGGTATATGGAGGGGAATTAAGTGTAAGCGTAACCGATAGAGCGAAGACATTTCTATTGTTTTCCATGATCTGAATACTTCTCTGTGTCAATTCATATGCTTTCTAATATTTTCATGTACATCACACTTATGGTACAGTAATGTTCTGTCACATCAATTTACTATGATTTGTTTAGCCATTTCTCGATTCATGGTTTCTTTTTTCTTTTTTTAACTTTTTTCTTTTCTTTCTTTTTTCTTTATTAATAGTGTTTTATTTTTTCCCAATTGTATGTGAAGATAATTTTTCATTTTTATAGGATTTTGAGTTCCAGGTTTTTCTCCCTCCCCTCCCCTCTTCCTAAAATGATAGGCAATTTGATATAGGTTATATATGTGCAGTTATGTAAAACATATTTCCATGTTAGTCATAGTTGTGAAAGAAGAAACCGATCAAAAGGGAAAAAAAATGAAAACAGTAAAATAAGTAAAAAACTATGCTTCTATCTCCATTCAGAGTTCATCAGTTACTTATTTGGATGTGGATACCATTTTCCATCATGGGTCTTTTGTACTTGTCTTGGATCATGGTGTTGCTGAGAAGAATTAAGTCATTCATAACTGATCATCATACAGTGTTGCTGATAACTGTGAACAGTGTTTTCCTGGTTCTGCTCATTTTACTTTGCATCAGTTCATATAATCTTTCCAAGTTTTTCTGAAATCTGCCTGCTCATCATTTCTTATTGCACAATAGTATTCCATTACATTCATATACCACAACTTGTTCAGCCATTCTCTAATTGATGGGCATCCCCTCAATTTTCAATATCTTGCCACCACAAAAAGGGCTGCTATAAATATTTTTTATATTTCTAGATCCTTTCCCCCTTTTTATGATCTCTTTGGGATGCAGACCTAGTAATGGTACTGCTGTATCAAAGGATATGCAAAAATTTTGAATAAAATACTAGCAAGGTGATTACAACAATATGTCACAAGGATTATACACCATGACCAGGTAGGATTTATATCAGGAATGCAGGGTTGGTTCGCTATTAGGAAAACAATCAACATTGTTATCTACGTCAATAAGAAAACTAACAGAAATCATCCAGCACACATTCCTATTAAAAGCACTAGAGAGCATAGGAATGAAGGGAGCATTCCTTAAAATGATATATATTATCTGTAATGGGCATGAGCTACAAAGAAGCCTTCCTAATAAGATCTAAGATCAGGAGTGAAGCAAGGATGTCCATTGTCACCACTGTTATTCAGAAGTGTAATACTAGAAATGTTAGCTGTAGCAATAAGAGAAGAAAAAGAAATCAAAGGAATTAGAATAGGCAGTGAGGAAATAAAACTATCACTCTTTGTATACGATACGATGGTATACTTAGAGAATCAACTGAAAAACTACTTGAAGTAATTAACTTTAGTAAAGTTGCAGGATATAAGATAAATCCACATAAATCATCAGCATTTCTTTCTATCACCAACAAAGCTGAGAAGCAAGAGATAGAGAAATTCCATTTAAAATAACTGTAAACAATGTAAAATACTTAGGAGTCTACCTGCCAAGACAAACCCAGGAACTATATGAATACAATTACAAAACACTTTTCACACAAATAATATCAGATCTAAACAATTGGAAAAATATAAATTGCTCATGGGTAGGCTGAGCCAATATTATAAAAATGACAGTTCTGCCTAAACTAATTTATTTAGTGCCATTCCAAACTTCCCTTAAATTTTTGA